ACAGCCACTAGGGGCTGGGACCAAAAACGGGGCAGGAAGTGGTGGTATGGAGTTCCAGGATTGGGAGCAAGGGGTTTCAGGAGGAGCAGGGAGGTGGCTTTGGGAGGGGCAGTGGAGACTGAGGAGGGCATGTGGCCTCCCACTCAGGGACAGCATCTGAGGGCCGGGCTCCAGGCAGAGCAGGAAGAGAGCATTCCAAATTGCTGGTGACAGAAGACCTCTGCATATGACCAACATCACATACTACAGGCCTAGTGAAAGGATAGGGGTCAGAGGATGGGGTCAGCCTGAGCTTGTGGGCACAGGGTCATCCTGGTGCTTCCTGTGTGTGAGCACTAAGCACAGGGAAGCCAGCAAATGTGCACTGTACCTGTTCTTACCACCCTGCCCCTGGGCCCAAGGGAAGTTACCCAGAAAGCCTGGAAGTGACAGGTTTCCAGCAGGTCCCCAAGGTACAGAATCTGTCGAATAGGTCGCTCTTCTTGCTGGCAGAGGAAGCGTTAAGGGAAAATAGCCCCAAGGCTGTGAAGGATGGGGCTTCCCAGCCCTGGGTCACCCCTCCCCACCTCCCTTCTTAGTCTAGCCCCTTCTTCCAAAGGTTCAGTTCAGAGAAAGGACTGGGGGCCTAGGGTGTGGCTCAGTGGCACAGCACTTGCCCATGATGCACATAATCCTGGGTTTCATCTCCAGTGCCACAAAAATAAAACATCATAATAAAACAGTGAGGGGCTGAGGATTTAGCTCAGTGGTGCCACTGCCTGCCTTGCAAGCACAAGGTCCTGAGTTCGATCCCCGGTACCAAAAAAAACAGTGAAAGGAAAAAAAAAAAAGAACTGTTATTTTTCCTGTGGGTAGAGGTGGGAGAAAGGACATTTATCACAGCACTGACTTTAATGGTCAAAGGCTGAGGAACAAGCTACAAGCTACAAGCTACAAGGCCAGTGATGGGGACAATGAAATAAAAGGCGACCCAACCACATACTGCGATCAACTCAACACTTGGAAGCCCAGTAGGTTCAGTGAATCACCTGGGATCTCACATCTTAGCAACCAATGAGCAGGGAGGTGTGACAGCCCAGCCTGAGGGTACCTGTTTTGCCAGGAACAGGTGGGAGACTGCCGAGTCTGTCAAGTGATTGATTAAAAGAAAGCTGGAGGCTCATCTGGCCAAGCACTGGACCAGCCACGAAAGAGCAGGTTATGCGGGAGGACTCAACACCCATGGAAGGCCAGCTCGGTCCCAGGGACTGAGGACACGCGTACATGACAGCCTACCTCTGGCCTCTTGTCTGGTGGCCCTCTGTTCAGCTAGCACCCTCAGGGGACTCCTGGAACACCCATCTGGCCACAGTGCCTGCAGCCCCAAAGCTTCCCAGCTGCCCAGTGCCCTGGAGTCTGGCTGTACTGCACTTAGACACTTGAGACTCCTATGCCACGCTTCCTCTGTCCCCAAGAGGGCTGAGCTCCTTCCTCTAGGCTTCCCTACTGTGGCCACTGCCGAGGTCTCCCTCCACACCCCTAGCCTTCCTGGGCTCCCTCTCCTTCCCTCTTCTGGACGCCTTTTCTTAACACCCAAAGAGGCACTCGGTGCTGTGGATGAACGCAGACACTTCGTCAGCCTTGCCTCTGAGCCCTCCCTGGCCCTGGAAGGATACATGCGCCTGGTCAATCATGCACTTGCACAGAGTGAAATCAGTGTGGGGCAGGTTGGTGAGGGCCTTCAGCAGGATCTGGGCGGTGACCGTAGTCTGAAAGAAGGCTGGGTTGAACTGGTACCTGGGAAGGGCAGCAAGAGACATAGCAACAGTGACCCCTCCACACCCTGGAGCCTCACCAGGCACTGGCTGCTGGTTGAGTCTGGAGCTTGCGTCTTGGACACAACTGGGCCCCGATTCTACACAAATCTTCTGGCTGCGTCACCTGCACTTTCTTGAGTCTGTTTTCTCACTCTAGAGATGGGGACAGTTAATCCTCACAACCACCCAACAGACACTGTCACATGATTCTTTTTTTGGGGGGTACCGGGGATGGAACTCGGGTCCTTGCGCTTTTCTAAATCCCCGGCCCTGTCAAGTGATTCTTAAACAAATGACTAACGGATGCAGCAGTATGGAGCAGTGGTTAAGGCTCTGGAGCAGGCTGCTGAGTTTTAAACTTCTCTGATGAGTGACTTTGGCCTGCCTTTTCTTTTTTTCCCCATGGTGCTAGGGACCCAGCCCTTCGGCACTGAGCTATGTCACCAGGCCCTTTAAAATTTTTTATTGTGGGACAGGATCTTGCTAAGTTGCCCAGGCTTGGCTTGAATTTGTGATCCTCCAGCCTCAGCCTCCCAGAATGCTGGGATGAGAGGCATGCACCACCATGCCTGACTTGGATTACTTATTTTAAATTCTCTGTGCCTCAGTTTTTTCCCTTTCAAAAGAGGAAAACTAGGGGTGTAGATAAGTGGTAGTGTGTGCTTAGCATGCATGAGACCTTGGGTTTGACCCCCAACACCAAACAAACAAAGCCCACATCTACCTCCCAGGGCAATATAACTGAAGTAGGGCCAGGGATTTAGCTCAGTGGCTAACCGTGCCTGCCTCACAAGCGCAAGGTCCTGAGTTCGATCCCTGGTACCAAACAAACAAATAAACAAAAAAAATTGAGGTAACACTCACAGGGCCTGCAGCACAGTAGCCAGCACACATAAGAGGTCAACACCAATAACAATATAAACTACCCCAACACACACGTCTCTCCATTTTAGAGATGAGAACACAGAGGCTATGTAGTCTACAAAAACTACACAGCTGGTAGTGTCAAGAAAGCACCCAAAGGGGAAGAACCCAAAAGGAACAGACCATGAGAACAGAGCCCATATTCCCAACACTCAGGAGGCTGAAGCAGGAATGATGCAAAAAATTTTTTTTCGTAGTGGAGATTGAACTCAGGTCCTTGCGCTTGCGAGGCAGGCAGCTGAACCACTGAGCTAAATCCCCGGCTAGGATTGATGCAAATTTGAGGCCAGCCTGGGCTACAAAGTGAGTTCAAGGCCAGCCTGGGCTACAAAGTGAGTTCAAGGGCAGCCTGAACTACATTGCAAGAGACTGTCCAAAAAAAGAGAAAAGAATAAAGTCACACAGTAGAACGCTATACAGCAAAGATAACAAATTACAACCACATTAAAAAAAAAAAATGGATGGGTGTCACAAACCCAGTGGTGAGTAGAAGATTCTAGATACAAAAGACCTTATGCTGTATGATTACAGTTGTGTCAAGTTCACAGCAGACAGAGCTGAGCTAAGCTAATCCAGATGCAAGCATGAGTGGTAAACAATCACAGCAAGCCAGAGTGTGACAGCAGTGACCAGAATGGGGGCTGGTCAGGGTCTGAGCATAGGGGCAGAGGACCTGGGGTGCTAGTAACATTCTGGCCAAGTGGACAATGGATGGTGGGTACATGGGTGTTTATCTATAATTACCGGCTAAAATACACATTTGCTCATGTATTTAAAAATTAACTTTAACCCCCAACTTCCTTGGCTTCCTAGTCTTGCACACCAAAGAGAAGCCACATCCTGCAGGTTACCCCAGCACCCGCCTGCATGTTGGGAGTGGCACCCTGCCAGCTGTGCAGGCACAGGGGGTAGGGACAGGCTAGGCACTCACAACTTCAGGACTGCCAGATTAGCTTCCAGATCATAGGCATTCTCCTTGGCCTGCGTCTCCACATAGCGCTCCAGGGTGGCCAGGTTCTCGGGATTGTACCTAGACAAGAATGAGGATGGATGAGCAGAGGAGAGAGCAGCTGAGGCCAGTCTTTTTAGGATGCCAAGAGTTCACTGTGACCTGCTCCTTTCTTCTTTTCTTTACCTCTAAATCTAGCCCTGGCCACTGGCTCTAACTGAATAATCAGCTCTATAGCCTCTTAGAGAACTTGCCCACACTCAGACCTTCTTGTGAGTTCTAAACTCCACTGGGGAGCCCTGCTGCCTCTCAACCTCACTCAGTCAATGCAGCCTGTGTACAAGGCCTCCTGAACCCATCTGTTACTCACATCTTCTAGGTCCCCACAGTGGACCCATCTCCTGCTTAGGTCAATGCCTAACCCACCCTCCCCCTTCATTCTTTTGCTTGCCCTAGTCTGGCCCAGAAAAGGGAACTCAGTCCATAAAAGCCAGATTTGTGGCTTGCCAGGCACTGACAGTGTAGACATCAGCGAACCTGTGTTGAATGAATGACACGAAGGGCAAAGGAAACTTTAAGAGGTACTGTGGCTGGGAGTGGTGTCGAACGCCTGTAATTCCAGCACTCGGGAGGCAGAGGCAGGAGGATCTCCATGAGTTCGAGGGCAGCATAGGCTACATAGTGAGCTCAGGGCCAGCCTGAACTACAAAGCAAGACCCTGTCTCAAAGCGAAAAAAAAAGTACTGTAAATGAGCTCAGACAGAAAACTGAGGGGCTGAAAAAGAGAACAGAGAAACTTTCAGGCAATTAAGGAGATTGAATAGTAGGTGCTCTCTTGCCTCTAGGCCTTTACATTGCTGTCTCCGTAAACGTCTCTTAATCCAGGATGGCCTCATCCCGCGCAGAGTGACAGAGAAACCCACCCCCGTACAGGCCCAGGCCCCTGGCCATCCCTTTCGGTCTCCGGAAACCCTCTTGTCCATCCCGCTTGGCCAGAGCGCAGACCTGTCGATACCCTTGAGCAACTTGCCCACGTTCGCTCTCATCTGCTCAAACACCGCCATGGCTACTGCAGCCTTCCACGACCACTGCCAGGGTGGAACACCGGCCCAGAGCGCCGTCCTCCAGGACCGGAAGAAGGAAAGGAGTAGGAATCGGAAATACGTAATTGCCGCTCCAGCTCTGGGGGACCATAGAGAGGAAAGTTCTTCCGGCAGCTGCCTTGCTGTCCCGCTGCCACGTGATTTCTTCCTAGCAGGCGTAATTGGCGCGTGCACATTCGCCCCGCCCAAGCTGGATCAACTGTGAGAAAAAGCTTAGAATACCGCAATGCGCAGGCGCCATCTCGGGGCTGGGTTGGCGAATCCCTCCTTGTAGTCTGAGGTGCGCGCGTGCACGTTCCGTTCCGTCTCCCTGGAGAGTTGGTGCGTGTGCGCGCGTCGTGTGGCGCGTGGTTGTGAACGCCTAGCCGTTCGGGAACGCACGTGGTAGCACACACTTTGGTACACGACTGAGTCCCAAGAGAAGCGCTCTGTGCGATCCTCCTGGCTTCAGGCCTGAGCTCCTGACGCAGGACCCAGGATGCTCACCTCTGCAGTTTCAAGTCGTTAGGCCTTGGTTGTCACCCCCCATCCTAGTTCCTGGAGTAGGAGCCGATAAAAATACTGCGTTCTGTGGTGAAGGAAGAGGGGGGAGGTGAGGGGCTTCTGGCTGCCGCCGGGTCGCTCCCTAATGAGGCTGAGAGCGAGCGCTCCATGTGTGCCTCCACGAGTTATTTGTACACAGATGTTCTACACTGCAGACCTGCATGCACAGGCATGTGCCCCGTGCGTGGAGATGTGTGCTCAGAATACATCTGCACGTGTGCACAGGGGGAGCGCATGACCACCGCACACGCACCGCAGCAGGCATGTAGGAGCTAACACCTAAGTGCATGTATGTGTCCCGGTGAGCAGATATGTGTACTACATCCCTGTGCAGACCTGCAACCTGTGGGTTGTAGCCTCTCTCAGGCACCCAGCAGAGGTTCAGCTAAGGTTTGTAGCCCCGCCCAGAACGGGGGAGAGGTGCTGGGGAAACCCTCCCCCTTTACAACTAGGATCGTTTGCATCTCATTTACATCCAGCACTGGGTTTTAGGGGTGGAGAGGGGTCCCATGGGTCCCAAAGCAAACAGCCTACCGAAGACTCTCAGAGCCCAGGGGACAGGGGGTGGAGCCCGTTGCATAGCCCTGCAGCTGGGGCAGGAAGCGGAGGGGGGCGGGGGAGGCCACAGCCCGCAGAAGCAAGGCGGGCTCAGGGCTTGTGGGGAGGGAAGGAGGTGCCAAAGCTCCAGCCCTGAGGCCCTGCTGGCCCCTGGGCGCAGGCCCAGCTCCTGCTTCCAGGGATGGACCTCGTGGATCCTGACATCTTTAATAGGGACCCTCGGGACCACTATGACCTGATACAGCGACTGGGTGGAGGCACCTATGGGGAAGTCTTCAAGGTGAGAAGTCCTTCCGTCTCCGTCTCCATCACCCTCAGACCAGTGACCTTTAGAGTGAGGCCTAAGAAGGGAGCGGGTGCCAGAGGGTCCTAATCTTTAGCTTGGCTCAGGGATGCTGACAAAGGCCTCAGGCAAATGGAGCCCGCCTGATGCCAACTTCCCCTTTATAAGGCTCGAGACAAGGTGTCCGGGGACGTGGTGGCACTGAAGATGGTGAAGATGGAGCCTGGTGAGAGAGCGAACCCGGGAACTCCTACACCTCCACCTCCTGGGACCCGGGGAGCCTCTCTCCCATAGCTCCCTGCCACCTTTTCTCTTCTGCCCCTCCTTGCAGACGATGATGTCTCTACCCTTCAGAAGGAAATCCTCATTTTGAAAACTTGCCGGCATGCCAACATCGTGGCCTACCATGGCAGCTACCTCTGGTGAACAGCCCCAGCCCACCCCCACCTCCCGAAGGATGAAGCCCAGCCCCCAGCTCAGAACCCTCCTCTCTGACTGGGCACTCCTAGCCTGATCCCCAGTCTTGAACTTTCATTTTTGACCCTGACACTCTATCCTGACCTCCAGCCTTGGACCTCCACTTTTTTTGGACCCCCCCCCTTAACTGGAGTACCCCATCCTGATCTTCAGTCCAATTTCCCACTCTTTTGACCACAGCACCCCATAATCTAATCCCCAATCTAGAACTCCCATTTTTGACTCAGGGTCTACCAAACTGACCTTCATAGTCATCAAGTCTGAAATTAGCTTTGCTAGTACCAATCTCTCACCCTTCTGTCCTTTGGGTTCTTTCATTTCACTAAGCTCCTTTAATATGAACTCCTAAATTCTCTGATCCCCAGAGTAATTTCCCAGATGCCCCAGTAATGACCTCATTCCCTAGACCTAGCACCCTGAGGCCCTCTGTCCCATCCAGATGCTGAAACATGTGAGATCTCCACTGTCCCCTGGGTTAGCCTGGGATGGCAGAGGGGTGCCCTGGATTTGGCGCCCATAGACCTATGTTTAAATCAAGTTGCCCCTTAATATACATTTCCTGGCTGAGGCTCAACATCTTCCGCTGTAAATGGGAATGGAACAGTCTCATTCTGGTGGGCGAGGGGGGATAGAGATGAGAGCTAGTACATTAGACTAGAACAGGCTAGAACAAGACAGTGATCCGGGGCTGTCAGATAGATAATAACTTATTGCTCTGCTGTTATTATTATGATCATTATTCCTCTTGGACCACTGTAGGCTGCAGAAGCTCTGGATCTGCATGGAATTCTGCAGGGCTGGTTCTCTCCAGGACATCTACCAAGGTCAGAGGACAGACAGGGGACTCAGCCCCCCTCACTCCTCAAACCCACCCTGCCTGTTGCTCTGTGTCTGTGTCTCTGAAACTGGTCTTCTTGGTCCACATCTTACCCAGAGAGCCCCTCTCTGGGCCTGGACCATGGTGGGGACCTCACAGTGACCCTGCCCTAGGCCCTGCCCTTCAGCACCTGCCTGTCCATCCTGGTGTTCTGCATGCAGTGACCCACTCTGTCTCCCCCTCTCTGTCTCGTTGACAAGATTTATTTGTGTGTTTCTGCATTTTCTGGGGCAGAGTAGGTACCCAAACTTTTGTCAAATGTGTGGCTGAATTTCTGATTCTCTCCTTCAGCCTGCCTTTCAGTCTAGGGGAATTTGGGGGGGGGGGGGCTCTGGTCATCTCTTTGAATTTCTGTGTTTTTCTTTTGTTTTTTTCTTTTTGGCAGTGCTGGAGATTGAATCCAGGGCTGTCACACTGAGCTACATCTCCAGCCCTTATTTTTTGTTTTTGTTTTTGCTTTTTTGAGACAGTGTCTCACTATGTAGTTCAGGCTGGCCTTGAACTCACTATCTCATTATGTAGCCCAGGCTGGCTTTGAATTCACAGCAATCCTCCTGCCTCAGCCTCCCGAGTGCTGGGATTACAGGCATGTGCTACCATGTCTGGCTTTTAAATTTTATTATTATTTTTTTCTGGGCCCAGGGATCAAACTCAGGACCTTCCACTTTCCAGGCAGGCGCAGTGCCACTGAGCTAAATTCCTGGCCCTCTTATTTTTTGTTTTGAGACAGGGCCTTGCTAAATTGCTCAGGTGAAACTCAAATTTGAGATCTTCCTGCCTCAGCATCCCAGATTATAGGCATGTGCCACTGTGCCCTGCTCCTTTCTATTTTTTATTTTGAGACAGGATTTCTTTAAATCCCTGAGTTGCCCCCCAGAATGCTGGATGGGAGGCATGGGCCATTATACTCAGGCCCTCTTTGAATCTCTGATACTCGCTTCAGTCTTCAGGCATCTCCTCGACTGCCTCTAGCCTAGTCCAAGACCTCAAGTGTCAGGAGGAAGGGCTTCATTAAGAAGCTCTCAGGCGGGGCTGGGGATTTAGCTCAGTGGTACTGTGCCTGCCTTGCAAGGACAAGGTCCTGAGTTTGATCCGCAGTACGGGGTGGGGGGTTGGGGGGAGTTCTCAGGGCGGGTGGGTGTGGGTGTGGCTTAGGGGTAGCATACTTGCCTAGCATGTTCCAGGCCCCAGGTTCCATGCCCAGTGCTGCAAGCAAACAAATGCAGGCGGGAAACTGAGGCCCTCAGAAAGGAAGTGACTCGCCCAGCCAGTCTGTGAGACTGGTCTCTGGGTACCGTGCTCTCTGTGGTTCTCTCTCCACCCCTCCGAGTCTCTTCTTGTCTCTGAATACACCTGTCTTCCCACACTTTGGTCTATGCCCATCTCTCTTTCTCCATCCCTATCTTGTTCAGCTCTGTTCCCTGTTGCTTGTCATTCTGTCTCTGTCTTTCCTCATTAGCAGGCACCGCCCTCTCCTATCCAGGGGCCTCCCACCACCAGGTCCCCAGCCGAGCCCCAGCCCAGCCCCAGCCCAAGCCCACCTTGCTGGCCGGCCCCTCCTCCCACACTTTCCTCCCTCCACCTCCTGCCGCCCACCCCTTCACTTGCTGTTCCTCGTCTCCCTACCAGTGGGAGCCTTCATGTCCTCAGATCTTACTTTCCCCTCCTCCTTCTCTTCCTTTGTCTTCTTTTGCAGTACCGGGAGTGTTGAATCCTGGATCTTTGCACTGAGCTATATCCCTAGGCTTTTTAATTTTATATTTGGAGACAGGGTCTCGCTAAGCTGCTAATTGCCCGGGTGCAACTCAAACTTGTGATCCTCCTGCTTCAGCCTCCTGAGTACTGAGATTACAGGCGGGTGTCACCAGGCCCCAGCCTCTGTCAGCTTCTTAAAGTAGCCTTACTGACCATCTGATGTAAAATGTCATAACCCTTCCCACACATATTTCCTGTTGTCTTTTCTTGCTCTTTTTCTTATTACTTATTAGCATCTTGCTTTCTTTTTCATTTTTTGTGGTGCTGGGGATGGAACCCAAGGCCTGGTATACATTCTATAGACAAGTGCTCTACCACAGAGCCGCACCCCAGCCCTACACTTGGAGGAGTATTTCACTCGCTTATCTTGCTCACTGTCTGTCTCCTCTCGAATGTCTCTCCAGGAGGGCAGGAATGTATCTCTTGTTCACAGCTGTGTCCCCCGTGCCTGCCACACAGTGGACAATGCAGTAGTTGTCTCTGAGTGCCTGTCTCCTTCTGGCTTGTCGCCCTGCCCGGCCACCTCTCTCAGTCACCAACATCCCTCATCTCCTGCCCACTTGTCCCATGGGGTCCCCTCCCCTCTGGGCCCCTCTCAGCTGGTATGGGTGGGCCCAGCTTCCTGGGCGCCGCCCAATCTTGGCCTGGCCTGGCTGGGCTGACCTTTGCAGTGACTGGCTCCCTGTCTGAGCTCCAGATTAGTTATGTCTGCCGGGAAGTGCTCCAGGTGAGGAGAGGCCTGGGGGCCTTGGAGGGGTGGGAGGGCTCTTCTCCCTCCTGCGGGCCTCATGGCATCCTCGCCATGCTTCTCCCCAGGGACTGGCCTACCTGCACTCCCAGAAGAAGATTCACCGGGACATCAAGGTGTGCCAGGACTGTGGGTACCATCAGAAGCGGGGTTGGCCTGAAGCCCGGGAGGTGGGGATGGCATTTGGGGGAGCTCAGGGCTGTTTGAGCTGTGGGGTGGGGCAGCATTGGCCTGGGCAGGGATCTCTGACAGCCCCTGTCCCTCCTCTCCTCCCCAGGGAGCCAACATCCTTATCAATGACGCTGGGGAGGTCAAGCTGGGTGAGTGCAGCTGGTGGGAGGTGACTGGGCCTGCGCAGGGATGGAGATGCTGTATCACTCCCTTTGTCTCCAGCTGACTTCGGCATCTCGGCTCAGATTGGGGCGACGCTGGCTCGACGCCTCTCTTTCATTGGGACCCCCTACTGGTGAGGGGGACTGGTGGGGTGGGGGGCAGCTAGGGATGGGCTGGGGGGCAGCGGCTTTTTCAACCCTGGCTCCCTGGGAATGTCCGTCCCCCCCACCCCCACCCCCTGGTGCTGGGGATCGAACTTGGGTCCTTGCACTTGCGAAGCAGGCAGCAGAACCACTGAGCTAAATCCCCGGCCCAATTTTCCTTTATGGAACACCTGAATGAATTTTTTTTTTTGTACTGGGTATTGAACTCGGGTCCTTGCGCTTGTGCTTGCGAGGCATGTGGGGGAACCATGCTCCCTGGGAATGTTGTCCCCTGCCTCTGTCTTTGGTTCACTTTGACTCTATCTGGTCTCTCTGAGCCCCATTCTGCCTTTTTTTCTCAGTGTTTGTATTGGATTTTTTTTTTTTTCTGGTACCGGGCATTGAACTCAGGTCCTTGCGCAGCAGGCGCCGAAACCACGGAGCTAAATCCCCGGCCCCTATTTGTTTTTATCTTGATCTGTCTCTCCCTATCTGTCTTCTCTCAGCCTGTGGCCCTCTCTTGCCTCTTTCTTTCTATCTCTCTCTGACAGATCTTATTATTTTTTCCTAGTAGTGGGGACTGAACTTGGGGCTTTCACACTGAGCTACATCTCTAGCCTTTTTATTTTATTTTTATGTTTTATTTTTTGAGACAGGGTCTTGCTAAGCCACTAAGTTGCCCAGGCTGGGTTTGAACTTTTGATCCTCTTGGCTGAGGCTTGCAGAGCACTGGGATTACAGGCGTGTGCCACCATGCCTGGCACTTTGCATCCATCTTTATTTCTGTGTTCCTTCCCATCTGGCTCTCTCCAACTCCAACTCCATCTCCTCTTACCCCATTCCCCGTCTGCCTCCTCTCTGTCCTCCCTCTCCCTGTGTCACCTCTGGCTCTCTGAGGGTCTCTGTCCCCAGGATGGCTCCAGAAGTGGCTGCAGTGGCCCTAAAGGGAGGATATAATGAGCTGTGTGACATCTGGTCCCTGGGCATCACAGCCATCGAACTGGCCGAGCTACAGCCACCACTCTTTGATGTGCACCCTCTCAGGTAGGCACGTGTGACATTGGGCCCAGGGACCCTGCCCAGCCCTGGCCTTGAAGATGCCACACAGCTTCCCTACAGGCGACCTCCCTGTGTCGTGCCCCCCCCCCCCCCCAAGCCGCATAGCAGTCTTGGCTGTAGCCTTCCATACCAGGAAGCCCCAGCTCAGGAACCCCATCTTGAGCCTCCTGCTGTGTGGCCACCGCTCCAGAGCGTGATAAGTGGTTTCCCTTAGAAGTGGCCTCCCAGCACTTTGCGAGACCCAAACCTGCTCCCGTTTGTCCTTCACTGCTGTCTGCTGACCCCAGTGCTACGGGGAACTGGACTCCATGTTCTTCCCCTGCTGTTCTAGAGTTCTTTTCCTAATGACCAAGAGTGGCTATCAGCCTCCCCGGCTGAAGGAAAAGAGCAAATGGTAAGGGGGTGACAGGGGAGAGAGGGTCTGACCTTCGAGAAGGTCTCTGCTCCCCTCAACCCAGAACCTGCCTCTTCCTCCCCAGGTCAGCTGCCTTCCACAACTTTGTCAAAGTCACCCTCACTAAGAGCCCCAAGAAACGACCTGGTGCCACCAAGATGCTCAGTGTAAACCTTCCTTCCTTGAGGAGTCCCCCAGTTCTCAGCCCAAGACCCAACTTCTAGGGCCCTCTGTGATTCCCTACAACACTGATAATTTAGTTCCCCAGAACTCCTGGGCCCCCTTTAAAGACCCTGTCTCAGGTTTCCCAGGATGTTCCCCAAACCTCCACATTGTACCCCAGACCTTTCTGGATCCCTGAGTTAGTTACTAGAACTTGCAAATTCCTCAGGGCCTCAAGACCTATCCCAGAGAATCCTCTCCAATTCCAAGGAAACCCCTAGTCCCTTCTAGGACATCTCTGGAATTCTCCAAGCCCCCTTCAGAGAATCCTAAATTCTTCTAATCCCTTAGAACTTGTCAGAATTCCCTAGCTTCCTGAGTTCCCTAGGTTCCCTGCCTTCTCCTTCAGCTGGACCTACTACCTCCACTGGACTCCCTGAGACAGGTTCTCAAGCCCCTGTCCCTGCCCTGCCTCGGGCCTTCTGTCATCTGACCCCACCCCCACCCCCTCCAGCATCAGCTGGTGTCCCAGCCTGGGCTGAACAGAGGCCTAATCCTGGATCTTCTTGACACACTGAGGAACCCCAGGAAGGGGCCCCCTGTTGGTGAGAGTGAAGATGAGGAACCCGAGGTAAGGGCCTTGGCTGACCAGAGGGCAGGAACCTCCAGGTTTTTGCTCAAGCTGTGTCTCCCCACCCAGGCCCCAGGAACGCCTTCCCAAAGCTGCTCTAAGACACAAGCAGGTGGAGGCAGGGAAGCTCCAGAGGGTTCTGGGAGAGAGGAGGCTCAAGGCTGGGCCCACAGGGCAGAGGGGGGCTACCTGGGGGCCATGAGCCCTGATGCTGCTGCCCCTCTACCCAGCCACCCCCTGCCATCCCTCGGCGGATCAGATCCACCCACCGGGCCAGCTCACTGGGGATCCCAGATGCAGACTGCTGTCGTGAGTAGAGATTCCTACAGTTTAGGGCACCTGACCCTGTAAGAGATCCTCTTCCCTTTCTCAGCCACCAGATCCGTAAGATCTTGACTCCAAAGCTCCCAACTCTGTTTCCTCTTTCCCAATCCATGTCACTGCCCTCGGGTCACTGGGTTGTCACCCTCCCACTTCAGGGCGGCACATGGAGTTCCAGAGGCTCCAAGGAGTGGAGCCCAGACCCCCAGCCGACGTGGTGAGACTGATGCCTCCCTGCTCCCTGAGATGCCCTCCCCTTCCCCTGGGCCACCACTGACCCCTTCCCTATCCCACAGGTGTGCTTACAGCCCCCTGGAGACCTGAGGAGCAGCAGTCCCAGGTCAGGGACCCTAGGGGTGGGGATGAGGGCCCTGGGATGTGTGTGGGCGCCCCCTGAGGCTCCTGCCTGTCACTGCTCAGGAGCCACCTGTCAGAGTCTGATGACGACTACGATGACGTGGACATGTAAGAAGCCCAGCCCTTGCTCTACAGACTTTCAGCCCAGCACCCCCTTGACAGCCCTCCCACTTGCCTTCACCTTGTCTCCACCTGAGCCCAGCCTTCCCCTGCCTTTCTCCCATCTCTGATCCTTGAGGCCTGACCTCACTCTTAATGCGCTCCTCCCCTTCCTTCCTCCCCAACCCCTGGTCCCCAATCCCACCCACCCTGTACCCTTCACCTCCAACACCTGACACCCCACCTAATCCCAACTCTGGCCTCCACCTTTTTATACAACCTTTGATCCGACCCCCAGTTTCATTCCCCACCTGCCCTCAACCCCAGACCTGACTCCACTTCCCTCCAGAATGTCGTCCTGCTCCCACCCCAGATCTTCCCTTGCCTGTCTGCCTCTTTGCTGGTTCCTCAGTCACATTCCAGATGTTGCTCCAACCTCCAGACCCACCTCCGAACCTCAACTTCAGCCTCTCCCCAGACTGGCATCTTTTGTCATCTTCTTGCCCAACCCCAGAATGCACCTTGGCTCCTGGAAATGTTCCAAAGGCCAGACCTCCACTCCAACAGCCAGCTAGGCCACCATCTTTCCCCTGTCCCCTCCAAGGGACAGCCTCGAGGGCCCCTCTTCATTCATTCCCCGCGGATCATGTGTATTGATGTGGAGCAGGTGAAAAGTGAGAATGGCATCCTGGCATCCCAGAGATTAATTACCTGAGCGCCTGGGGGTGTGAAGACGCCAGCCCAGAGTTGCTGTTACTGTTGTCACCATGGCCACTTCTCCTGTGACCCCGGCCAGACCAAGTCAGCCCTTCCTCCCCAGCATCCCATCCCAGGCCTCAGACCCTGGCGACCCCATCTTTCCCTGTCCTTGTTCCCCACACCCCCACCTGCTTACCTGACCTTTGTGTTTCAGCCCCGCCCCTGCAGAGGAAACACCTCCCCCCCTGCCCCCCAAGGTAAGGCCCAGAGGCCAAAACCTGGCGCTGTCCAGGGTTGGGAGGCTGGTAGTCCCAGTTGATGGGTACACTGGGACCTGGATGTGACAGCCCTCAGCAGGGGTAGCATTACTGGGAGTCCTCTGCGGTGTCCAGTATTAACCCTTTGGTTCCTGAGTGTGCTGATATTGGGGGTGGGGTGTTGGGCAGGCTGAAGGGGAGGAAGGACATTGTGGGGTGGGCCAGCCAGGGCTAGCTTGTAGTTCTGTGGGAGGCAAGGACTGGGGTACAAAGGGTGCCCTCTCTCTGAGATCACCTGATATATTTCCCCACACTCCTTCCCTGTCTCCAAAGCCCAAGTTCCGGTCTCCCTCAGATGACGGGCCTGGAGGGCTGGGGGATGAAGGACAGCTGAGCCCTGGGGTGCTGGTCCGGTGTGCCAGTGGACCTCCCCCACGGACCCCTCGTCCCGGGCCTCCTCCAGTCACCCGCAGCCCCCATCTCACTGCCCACTCAGGTAGCAGGAGGGGTTGGGGTGGAGGCTGGGCCAGGGTGAGGCGTCTTGGGGCTGATCTTACCCCAACCCCTCTCAGAGCCCTCACTCTGGAACCCAGCTTCCCGGGAGCCTGACCAGCCCCCACTGCTGCCCCCTAAGAAAGAAAAGATGAAGCGGAAGGTGAGGGCCAGCTGTCACCTTGGGGTGGGGCCAACCATCCCCGGGGGTGGGGCAGGGGTCGGGATATCTGGCTTTGCGTGGTGTAAATCCTTACCAGAGAGCTGGGGAATTAGCTCAGTGGTTCCGGCGCGTAGCCTACCTCGTAAGTGCAAGGTCCTGAATTCTATCCCCAGTACCAAAAAACCCCCCAAAAACAAAGAAATCCTTACCAGATAGAAACACCATGCACCTTTCACAGATGGGGAATCAGGCACAGAGAGGTGACATAGTTTGCCCAAGGTTGTATATATATAGTCCTCCCACTGGGGATACATTTCGAGACCCCCAATGCATACCTGAAAGCATAAATGGTCAGTATCCAGCCACACATACACACACGTATATATGTGTACATATGTATATTTTCCCCTATACATACTTCCTATGATGAAGTTAAATTGATTTGTCACAGTAAGAGATTAACCATAGTAACAAATAATCAAATAGGATAATTAGAATAATGTACTGTAATAACAGTTATTTGAAACTTATGATTTTTCCATGTAATATTTTTGAATTGCCATTGACTATGGATAACTAAATCCACAGAAAGTAGAAAAAGGGACAAAGAGGGTGACTGTCTAACTTGGAGAGGCAGAGGCAGGATTTGAACCTGGGAACTCTTGCTCCAGAGTTTTAACTTCTGCACCTTCCTGTCCCCTGCCCTCTCTCTCTGGATCTGCTGCCCATCTCATGTGGCCAACGCAGGGATGCACCCTGCTTGTGAAGCTGTTCAATGGCTGCCCCCTCCGGATCCACAGCACAGCCGCCTGGACGCACCCCTCTACCAAGGGTGGGCCCGGGGGACCGGGAGGGCAAAAGGGGCTCGATGAGGTCTGGAGTGGCCCAGAATCTGGGGCAGAGCCTGTAGTAGGATTTGGGGATCCAAGAGAGTAAAAGGGAAGATGAGTTAGGGAGTAAAACCTCGGGAAATTAGAGTGTGGGGAGAGGGGTGTCCAAATACAACAGAACGGCTAGACTTTGGGGGACATGGTGGAGATGAATGGTTAATAGCTGGAGGTTAATGGTGGAGAGATTGGAGTCAGCATTTTGGGGTCAGAGGGTTAGGGATCAGGCCAGGCCTGCTGGTGCACACCTGTAATCCAGGCACTCAGGAGGCTGAGGCAAGAGGATTGCTGTGAGTTCCAGCCCAGCCTGAACTACATAGTGAGTGTCTGAAAAAAAAAAAAAAAAAAGCTTTAGGGATCAGAATGTAGCAGAAAGGACAGAGTCTAGGGATCAAACACAGACAAAGTCAAGGAAATGTCAGTGCTAAAGGAGTAGCACGAGTTCAGAGGCTGCACTGCACATAAAAAGTTATACTTGGAGGTGTTTGAGTTTGAGTATCATTGTGAAGACAGGATTGACAGTTGGTCAGAACTGGGCAGAGAGAAGAACAGAAGTTAAAGGGCTATTTTTGGTGGCAGGTTCAAAGGTGGGGTGACTTCTGGAGAGATAAAGGGCCAGGATTTGTGGGGTGGTGACAGAAGAACCACCAGAACCTGCAAGTCACTGATAGGGGACACTAAGACACTAAGCATTTGTGGTCAAATTTGGGGAAACAGAGGCTGAGAGTATTAGTTTGGGCTGAGGGTTAGTGAATAAAGGGTCAAAACTGAGGGCCTGAGAGCCGGGTGTGTTGGCACAGGCCTGTAATCCCAGCACTCGGGAGGCTGAGGCCGGAGGATCACCGAGGGTTCAAGGCCAGCCTGGGCTACATAGTGAGTTCAGGGCCAGCCTGAACTACAAAGGGAGACCCTGCCTCAAAAACTGAGGGCCTGGGTGAGGATCACTGTTTGGGTTCAGCCAAGTGGGGATTAGAGGGAGTTTAGGATGAAGTGGTCCTAGTGTTCTCTTGTCTGTTCCCTGCCAGACCAGCACCTGCTCTTGGGGGCAGAGGAAGGCATTTTCATCCTGAACCGAAACGATCAGGAGGCCACTCTGGAGATGGTGAGGCGCTGAGCCTGGGCTGGGGCAGGGACCGGGTGGAGCTAGGTGTTCGTCGGGGTCACGTAACCCATCACCTCCATTTTCTGCAGCTCTTTCCTAGCCGGACAACCTGGGTGTACTCCATCAACAACGTCCTCATGTCTCTGTCAGGTCTGCCCAGGTTGGGGAAGAAGTGGGGTCTGGGTTTGGGCGATGAGTGAGCACAGCTTCACAACAACAGGCTTCCCCTTCACAAGCTGTAAATTCAAATCCCAGCCACCTTTACAGGGTGGGATGTAAGGCAAAGGACTTCCACTCTCTGAGCCTCAGTTTTCCTGTCTGTAAATTGGGGCTCACAATAGTCCTCACTGCTCAAATCAGACTTGAGGTGATTTCTATGATAAATTAGTCTTTAAATAACTTTGGTTTTCAGATGACCATCAGAACTCATTCCCACTTTGCTAAGATAGGGTGAGCAAATTACAGATTTAAAAATTTAGGGCTGAAAAAGCTCACTGGCAAAGCATTTGCCTACCATGCATGAGGTCCTAGGTTGCATCCCCAGCATGCAAAAAAAAAAAAGAGGTATGTCATTTTTAAAAAATGTTTTATGGGGCTGGGGATTTAGCTCAGTGATGCCACCACCTGCTTTGCAAGCACAAGGTCCTGAGTTCGATCCCCAGTACCCCCAAAAAAGTTTTATGTAAAAGGATTTCTAATTTTGAGGGACACACCAAGCCAAAGAAGAACTTCTAGGTGTTTTTTAATTTTTCTGTACTCAGGATTGAAACCAGGGTCTTTGGACTGAGCTGCATCCCTAGCCCCCCCCCCCCTTTAAATTTTGAGCTGGATCTTGCTAAGTTACTAAGTTACTCTGGCCAGGCTCCAATTTTTGATTCTCCTGCTTCAGCCTCCCACAGTGCTAGGATTACATGTGTGCGCTACCATGCCAATTCCCCCCCCCCCAGGTCTCAGTATGACTCTAGGTTGGCCCTGAACTCACTGTGTATCACAGGGTGGCCTCAAACTCACGGTCCTCTTGCCTCAGCCTCCTGAGTGGTGGGATCACAGGTGTGTGCCACTATGGCCGACCCCAAATAGGATTTATGAGCCAGTTAAATCTGTGATGACAACTTTAGGAGAAAATTGAGATATGGGGGTTTTTTTGGTACTGGAGATCGAACTCGGGACCTTGCGCTTGCAAGGCAGGCGGAGGAACCACTGAGCTAAATCCCGGCCCGAGATATGTTTTTTCTTAAACTTTTAATATGTGTAACTTCATCGGACTGGTTAAGTGTCCATAATTCCTTGTGTGGCTACCACCACTACGAGGGTAGGGAACATATTTATTTTGCGCACTATTGTTTACCAGGGTAGAGCAGGATGCCCGGTCTACCCTGGGCCTTTAGGATATTTGAGAGAGGGCTGGGGATTTAGCTCAGTGGTTCCGGTGCCTTGCCTCACAAGCACAAGGTCCCAAGTTTGATTCCCAGTACCAGAAAAAAAACCTAAATAAGATATTTGGGAGAGCGATGACTGAAGGAAGAGTGCTTGACATTCTCTGCCTTGGGAGTTTCCGAGATAGGGGAAGATGTGGTAACCAGTCCTGTAACTGCTTCCTACTTCCCCCACATGCGCACACACTGCAGGAAAGACCCCCCACCTGTATTCTCATAGCATCCTGGGTCTGCTGGAACGGAAGGAGACCAGAATGGGAAGCCCCATCGCTCACATTAGCCCCCACCGGCTACTGGCAAGGTACCAGCCTCAGTGGCAGCGAAGGCTCCTCGGACCACTCCTCACTCTACAGCCGCCCCACTGCCCACTCACACCTATTCTCTTCCTCAGAAAGAACATGGTCTCCACCAAGATCCAGGACACCAAGGGCTGCCGGGCGTGCTGCGTGGGTGAGAGCGAAGCTCCTGGGTGTGCCGCTGAGGCGGGGTGGGGCGGGGCCGGGGCTTGGGCAGCATCCACTGGAGAGGGTCGTGGAGTTTTAAGGCTGGTGTCCAGAGCCCAGGGAAAGAAGGGTGGCACTCTGGGCCTCTTGGAGAAGAAGCGGAAGAGAGGGCATTGACTCCATCCATCCTTGCCCACACCCGCAGCGGAGTGTTCGAGCTCCAGGGGCCCTTTCCTGTGCGGGGCATTGGAGACGTCGGTGGTTCTGCTCCAGTGGTACCAGCCCATGAACAAATTCCTGCTTGTCCGGGTAAGGGCTTTGGGGCAGGGAGCACTGGGGACTCGGGCATGCAGTGGCTTGGGCCCTCCACCCTTTGCGCTTGCCTGGAGTCCAGGAAGCCCAGCCTCTACCGAGGCCACGCCCACCGAGGCCCGCCCTCGTCGACCCCGCCCGCCCGCGGTCTGTTGGGAGTCTCACCTTCCTGAGGAGCCCCTGATCCTTAGGCTCCTCCCCTCACACCTAGGCCTGATTATTTCGCATGCCCTGAACCCCGTCCCCCCTAAGGTGGCACCACCTAAGTCCTCTGAGGCCTCTGACTTTCCTGAAATGTCTAGAAGTCACCTAAGACCGAGGGCCAGAAAGTGCTATTTTGGAAGTCCCAGGCCCGCTCGGGCCCGGGCCTCCCCTCTGAGCCCGCCCTCCCCGTGGGCCCGCAGCAGGTGCTGTTCCCGCTGCCCACGCCTCTGCCGGTGTTCGCGCTGCTGACCACGCCAGGCTCCGAGCTGCCGGCCGTGTGCATCGGCGTGAGCCCCGGGCGGCCAGCGAAGTCAGTGCTTTTCCACACCGTGCGCTTCGGCGCGCTGTCCTGCTGGCTGGGCGACATGAGCACGGGTGAGCCGGGCGGTCTCGCAGAGGGGCAGAGCTTGCCTTTTCGGGAGGGGTGGGTTCGAGCGGCCGGCGGGACTTTTGAGCCCATACTGAAAAGGGTGGAACACGGTGACATAGAGAATAGCCCTGAGTTTGATGACGGGGTGGGGCCTGGGTGGTGGGTGGGGTTAGCCTCCTTGCTTGGTGTTTGAGGGAGTGCCTAGCAGAGGCAGCCTTCTAGGGGCGCTGTGGGAAAGGGGAACCTGGCAGAGTCGCCCTTAATCAACCCCGCCTTCTCTCAGAGCACAAGGGAGCAGTGCAAGTGACCCAGGTAAAGGATGACATGGTGATGGTGTTGTTGGATGGTAAGAACCTTTCTTCCACTCACCCTCCCTGCCTCTCCTGCCTCTGAGAACCTGAGTCCCTTTAGCTGGGTGTGGTGGCAAACACCTGTACCCAGCGCTCTGGCAGGCTGAGACAGGAGGATCCCAAGTTCAAGCCCAGTCTGGGCAACTTAGCAATTTAGCGGGATCCAGCCTCAAACTTTTAAAAGGAGGAGAGCTGAGAAGGTAGCTCAGTTCAAAGGCTTTGTGTTTGTTAACCTCAATTGCCAGTACTAAAAAAAAAAAAAAGCCTGAGCCCCTCTAGGCCTTGCCCCACTACACCCAGCTCCCTTTTTTTTTTAGCTTTTCACACTGAATCCTTGCCCTGTCCCTTAGTGGCCCTCTAAATCCTGGTCACAGTTTTGTTTTGGTTTGGTTTTTGGTACTGGGAATCATACTTAGGACCGAGAGCTTGCCAGGCAGGCACTGTGCCACTGAGCTACATCCCCAGCCCAACTTAATTTTGGAGTCTAGTACTGTGAATTTATCGTAAATAGTTTTTGTTTCGTTTTGAGACAGGGTCTCACTATGTAGTTCAAGCTGGCCTCAAACTCACTGTGACCCTCCTGCCTCAGCCTCCAGGTGTGCACCACGACACCCGGCTTTAGTCACAGTTCTTAAGTCCCTTACTCTCTCCACTTCCAGGCTGTCTGAAACTGGTGACCCCAGAGGGAGCCCCAGTCCCGGGCCTTTGCACTCCAGAGATCCCCATGATGGAAGCGGTGGAGGCCGTGGGTAAGTGTGGGACTGGAGCCGGGTTGGACAGAGGCAGGAGTGACCTCCAGGTGATCGGCGCTGCTTTCTCTCCAGCTATGGTCGAGGGTCGGCTTCAGGCCTTCTGGAAGCATGGAGTGCAGGTGTGGGCTCCAGGCTCAGACAGGGTAAGCTCCTCCTCTCCAGACCCCCACGGTGTGCCTTCCACCTCAGTCATCACCTATGGTAGATGGGCATGGAGAACTCCTGAGCCGGAAGCTCTCTCCAACCACAGACAGGTCCCCTTCTCTGTCCCAGTGTCTCTTGAGTTCCAGTCTCAGCCTAGACCACTGTGTGACCTTGATCAAGGGACTTTGCTTTTCTTAGCCTCTGTTCTCCAACTGCAAAATAGGGATCACCATGGAGATAGATGGATGATTAAGGGACTTTAAATTCAGGCACCTGAATTGGAATCCAGCTGGGTAACCTTAGGCACGTGACCTGCCATTAAAAAATGGAGGAGAAAATGGGGTTTGTCTCGTAGAATAGTGTGTCAGTCTCTGCCCTAACACTTTTATTTATTTATTTATTTATTTATTTTTTGGTACCACGGATTGAACTTGGGTCCTTGCGCTTGCGCAGCAGGTGGCGAAACCACTGAGCCAAATCCCTGGCCCCCTAACACTTTAATATTTAATTCAATCTTTATGATCACCTATCAGGTAGGTACTACAGTTTTACAGGTTATAATGTGAGACACAGTGAGGTTAAGTAACTCACCTGAGGTTACACTGCTGATGTGTGATATTGGAACAATTGATTATCTGGATCTAAGGCTAGATATTCAGACTTTTCCTTGTCCCGAAGGGAGCCACATTTTGGGGGGTTGCTTCTTTTTTTTTTTTTTTTTCCTTTTTTTGGTACTGGGGATTGAACTCAGGACCTTGAGCTTGTGAGACAGGCACTGCACCACTGAGCTAAATCCCCAGCCCTGGGGGGTTGCTTCTTGACACTGACAGATACCCACTTTTCCACAGCTACTTCAGGAGCTGAGAGACCCCACCCTTACTTTCCGTCTGCTTGGCTCTCCCAGGTATGGTGTTGGGAGGGAGACAGAGGACCTGGGAGGGGCATCCTGAGGTGTCTGTGGTCATTATCTTTAGCTGTTCCCTGCCTCCATCTCTGTCCCCAAAGACTGTTCCCTGCACAGCAGCCAGAGGCATTTTCATTTTATATTTTAATTTTATT